TTGGGGAAGAAAATATCAAAAAGTTAAAAATCCAGAAATAGTCCTAATTTTATGATGGTTCCTTAATATATTTTAACTACATTGCATTTGAGTATGGAGAGGCAACTATCTGGAAGTATTTTAGATAAAAAATTTACTAAGTATTGCCCGGTTTGTAGTTGCAGTTAAAGAAAACACATGAAAAGGCACGATTTTTTTTAATTCGAAAAAATGTAAATATTTCAAAAACGGTGACACTTTTACCTGAAAAATTTTTGTTTATCAGTGAGCTTACCCACCCACCTACCTTCCCCTAAAGTTTGGCACGTTACTTCTGGGACACCCTGTATATCGTCGTATAAAGTACAAAACCGCGTATCAACATAATGCAAAACCGCGTATCAAGATAACGAAAAACCGCGTTTGTGAGGCAATGTTGGCATTTTTGGTACAGTTGTACTTTTTTGATACTATTTCGTTTACAGTATACTTTCCTACTACTCAGTAATTTTTAGTACAATTTTGTGATGAGTACTATAAATATATATGTAGCTCTGAAAATTCACTGCGGGAACTTTTTATACCTTTCATGAGCATGAAATGGTATTATAACTTTGGTCCGATGTTTGTTAGTACCAGAATATAAAAAGAGATATACCCATTAAAATGTACTAGTATCGCCCAGTTGTCGAAATTCGACATCTTTTTTGTTTCACTTTTGTATTTTACCTGTCTACTACTAACTCCTTTATGCGAATTACTATTTTGAAGTCCACCAGCATAATTTAAAGCAAATTTACAGGAAAACTTAAAATCGAATTATGAACGTTAACATCGTATTGATTAATTTCTTCAGTAGATTTTGAAATTAGACCGAAAAAGGAACTTCGCTTCTAATTTATAAAAAATATGCATATGTATTTGTATGTATATATGAGATGTTCATCACTGACTAATATGTCAAATATATACCAATTCAGACTGTGAATAAGTTTTTCGATTATATTTGTCTGAGAGCCTCATGAAGGTTAAAAGCTTAATTGCCCACATCTACATAAACTCTTTTGTTTTTTCATCAGAATCGTTAACGGTTGAGAAAGTATTTTGAAGCTTTACAGCAAAAGATAATATTTCGTTCTCTAACGGCGGCTTCACACGGGTTTTTGTCAAGACTGGGCCAAAGCCCAATATTTTTTATAATATAATTTTATGTTACTAAAATATGTTCTAAAAGTGAAAAAAATCTGATCATAAATATGATTTTTAGGATAGCTCTCAATCCCTGCGCCATCTATCCGAAGACAAACACCCTCATCCTTCTAAAAACTTTTGCACAAAACAACAATCATTCAATGAGATTTTAAAATCTGGGGAAAATGGTTCCCAATTGAAAGATTCTTGCGATTTTATATGTGTATAAATGTAGGTGTATAAAATTCCATGAACTTATAGAAAGTGGTTCCAGAGAAAACCGATTGTATGAGCGGTACCACGCCCCTTTTCCAAAATTTACCACTCTTCGCCGTAAGTACGTTATTGACAACATATGTTGCTGTGTCAAATTTCAGGACGTTAGCATAGGCGGTTCCAGAGATAAGTGATATGAGAATTTCAGTTTGTATGGGCAGTGCCACACCCCCTTTCCCATTATCTACCACTTTTCGCCATAAGTACGTTATTGATATCATTAAAATTTCAGGACGTTGGCATTAGCAGTTCCAGAGAAAAGCGATATGAGAATTTCAGTTTGTATGGGGTGGTGCCACGCCCCCCTATCCAAAATCTACTACTATTCGCCGAAAGTACGGTATTGACAACATATGTTGCTGTGTCAATTTTCGGGAAGTTAGCATAAGCGGTTCCAGGGAAAAGCGATAAGAGAATTTCAGTTTGTATGGGAGGTGCCACGCCCCCTTTTTCCAAACTCGACCAATTTTCGCCGTAAGTACGGTATCGATGAAATATGTTATTGTGTCCAATATCAGGACGTTAGCGTAAGTGGTTCCAGAGATAAGCGATATGAGAATTTAAGTTTGTATGGGAAGTGCCACGCCCACTTTTCCAGTACCTACCATTTTTCACTATAAGTAGGGTATTTACAATCTATGCTCCTGTGCTAAGTTTCAGTTCTCCAGCATAATTGGTTTTAGGGATATAGTGGTTTTAACATTTTAGTCTATATGCAAGTTATATCCTTTAAATCGGTGTATGTTTCATTGAAATCGAGCGGACGGTGCCTTCAGAGAAGGGATTGCAAAATTTTCTTGTGGCGTATTTATATATAGATACTCATATGATCAGAACGTCGAGCTGAGTCGATTTAGCCATGTCCGTCTGTTCGTCTGTTTGTATGCAACCTAGTCTCACAGTTTTCGATATATCCGGATGAAACTTGGTAGGTGGGTGTATTTTTAATGTATTAATCATTTGTCGGTACCGGAAGAATCGGACCACTATAACATATAGCTCCCATACAACTGATTTTTCTGATATGAGAATTTTCGTTATAACTCATCCATTTATGCAGCTAGGAACATAAAATTTCTCACTGTTTTCTCACATCATCAACAGAATACTTACAGTGAAATTAACACAGATGGGGCCACTATAACCTGTAGCCCCCATACAACTTGTTGTTCAGATATGAGGTCTTTTATCATAACTGCTCCATTTATGCAGCTAGGAACATGAAATTTCGCATCGTTTTCACTCATTATTAACAGAATGCTTGCAGTGAAAATAACAAGGATCAGGTCACTATAACCTATTAATTGCCTCCATACAACTGATTATTCAGATATGGGGTTTTACTGTAAAACTCCTTTATTTGGACAGCTAAAACCGATAAATTTCGTAAGCGATTTTATAAATAATAATACAAAGTCTACTGAGAAAATGGTCAAAATCTATGTATAAGCGTTATCTCCTATACGACTGATTGTTCAGGTACCAGTTTTTGCGATATATCTCCTTTACGTAGGAATCTAAACCCATTAAATTGTGTTACCGGTTTACATACCGATCACATAGCAGTGAAAATCACTTAGGGCCGGTTACTCAATGTCTGGTTAACACTAATCTGCGGTTAAACATCGTTATCACCGTTTTCGGCTCCATTAATACAACAGGGAGTCGGTAACGTCGATAACTATGTTCAACCGGAGATTAGTGTTAAGCAGACATTGAGTAACCGGCCCTTAGGGCCGGTTGTTCAATGTATGGTTATCACTACTTGCCGGTTAGACATCATAATCGACAATTTCGACATCATGCGTATAACATGTGATCGATAAAGCAGTCGTTGTATCTAACCGGAGCTTCTACCTCCGATTTGTGCTAATCAGACATTGAACAACCGGCCCTTAGATTGGTGCCATATAAAGTATGTCTTCCATACCTCTGATTGTTTAGATACGATTTTTTATATATGTAACTCCTCTATCGATGTATGCTGTGAATATATACATTTTTTAAAAAGCAGTAATCTATTAAAGTAAAATTTTCAGATGTTCATGAAAGGTATGAAGCCTTCGGCATTGCCGAAGACTGCGCTGCTCGTGCTTGTTTTATTCTCTTTTTGTCTTCGCCTTCTCGTTTTTGCTTTTGTAAGTTTTGAACGAACCATTATAACATAGCACAAGGGATGCTATCAACTTCACATTCCTAGGCAAGTCTTGAAAGAATATTTTTGATACTAAATCTTATTAAAACAAAATGTCGAAATCAGCTTTATATAGTTAGAAACAGTGTCATTGTTAATTAAGAAAGAGATGTTCTTAAATATCATAACTTTACGACACTCACATATTGACTAGTTTTGACAATTTATTTTATTAACGGGTGATTTTTTTGAGGTTAGGATTTTCATGCATTAGTATTTGACAGATCACGTGGGATTTCAGACATGGTGTCAAAGAGAAAGATGCTCAGTATGCTTTGACATTTCATCATGAATAGACTTACTAACGAGCAACGCTTGCAAATCATTGAATTTTATTACCAAAATCAGTGTTCGGTTCGAAATGTGTTTCGCGCTTTACGTCCGATTTATGGTCTACATAATCGACCAAGTGAGCAAACAATTAATGCGATTGTGACCAAGTTTCGCACTCAGTTTACTTTATTGGACATTAAACCAACCACACGAATGCGTACAGTGCGTACAGAAGAGAATATTGCGTCTGTTTCTGAGAGTGTTGCTGAAGACCGTGAAATGTCGATTCGTCGCCGTTCGCAGCAATTGGGTTTGCGAAACACATTTCGAACCGAACACTGATTTTGGTAATAAAATTCAATGATTTGCAAGCGTTGCTCGTTAGTAAGTCTATTCATGATGAAATGTCAAAGCATACTGAGCATCTTTCTCTTTGACACCATGTCTGAAATCCCACGTGATCTGTCAAATACTAATGCATGAAAATCCTAACCTCAAAAAAATCACCCGTTATTTTTCTTTTTTCATTTTAACTATTTGTTTATAAAAACATTGATTATTCATTAACAAAAACTGTATAAAAATAAGTTTAAATGCTTGAAGTTTTGTTGAAGTATAGACTGCATTTTTATAAACAAATAATTAAAATGAACAATTTTAAGATAAATGGGAAATCTTGGCAATATGTGCGTGTAGCAAAGTTTTGATAAGCACTTGAAATACTATTAAAATGTCAAGTTTTAGTACTGAATTGAAAGATGTCTANAAGACTGCGCTGCTCGTGCTTGTTTTATTCTCTTTTTGTCTTCGCCTTCTCGTTTTTGCTTTTGTAAGTTTTGAACGAACCATTATAACATAGCACAAGGGATGCTATCAACTTCACATTCCTAGGCAAGTCTTGAAAGAATATTTTTGATACTAAATCTTATTAAAACAAAATGTCGAAATCAGCTTTATATAGTTAGAAACAGTGTCATTGTTAATTAAGAAAGAGATGTTCTTAAATATCATAACTTTACGACACTCACATATTGACTAGTTTTGACAATTTNAATAAGTTTAAATGCTTGAAGTTTTGTTGAAGTATAGACTGCATTTTTATAAACAAATAATTAAAATGAACAATTTTAAGATAAATGGGAAATCTTGGCAATATGTGCGTGTAGCAAAGTTTTGATAAGCACTTGAAATACTATTAAAATGTCAAGTTTTAGTACTGAATTGAAAGATGTCTATTTTATCCATTCATAATAACTTAAAAAATTTGTTTGTTAAGAAGTGTATCTTAAAACATGTACATACAAATTTATGTTCAAAGTGTAAAATATGTAAATGTACCTACACTTTCCCATGAATACCATCAAGTCATTGGTCTCGAAGGGAATGTATGTATGCATGTACTAAGAAAATATATGAGCAAATTAAAAAGTCGATACAATTTACAGTCGAAAAGTACAGTTTTTGTATAGATTTCGTACTGAAGGAACAATTTCATTTCCCAACACTGATGTGAGGTTGCATAAATTATTTTGTAGAGAGTAAAAACACTCATATTTCAAAATTGTTCTCTCTTTTATGAAGCAATCGCATATCTGGCTAGTATATTTCAGCACGAATTAATAAGGCTTGAGCCAAGAGCTTCGATGAGCAAATCCAATTTTTAGCAAAAAATGTCAGCTACGCGGTTTTGCAGAACGACGATACGCGGTTTTGTACGTACATACATATATGTATCTATACAAATTAATATATATACATGCTTATGTATATATCTATGAGATTTTCTTTTAAATCTGTAAGATATACTCATATAAAATTCAAGTGTGTATAAAATTGCTAATGACAAAACCGATAGGTACTCAGCATTGCAGACGCCATATAAGCAAAACTGAATTATTACGAAATATAAATAAAGTGCCAGCACTTTACGCCATTTTGCATTTTCTCGTTTCAGTTCGTGCAAGTGTTTATAAGCAACACAAGAAAGGAGTCGATCGAACACACTTTCAAACAGAGTTTATCCCGATGCAACCCTGTTAATACATGTGTCAATTCTTGAAAATAATGAACATTGAAAAATAATAATTAAAGACTCAAACAGCTTTGCAAAAATTATCTTAGCTATTAATTTTATAAAAAAGCTTAGCATAAACGTAATTTTAAGAATTATTTAAATGGTTTACTTTATACAGTTTAGTTGCATGAAACAACCGTGTGGACAAATTCCCTGTTTATATGCACTCTTAACCCTTTCGGTACATCTTTTTAGATTCGGGCTTTAAAAATCCAATTTTTTTATTAAATGATCCTAATATATAATATAATAACATTCAATTTAATTTTTTTTCAAAAATTCGATTCTAAAGTGTTTTTTGGAATGATGCCATATGGCATCATTTGTACTAACTGGTGTAAAAAATATGCAATGATTTTTTAATATGGTATTTTATTTTATTCAAATCAAATTAAATAACACCACAAAAATTTAATAAAAGAAGTTGGAACATGCATAGATTTAATAATTCATTTAAAAAATTTACCAGTTGCAATTTCCCAGTACAAATATATCGTTATTTGCTGGTGCGGATTTCAGCTCCTTCAAATATTATTGATATTGCCATATGGCATCATACACATTTAAAAATATACCACGCGTTTATTAGCACTTTTTTAAATTAAATTACAAGTTCTAGCAATATTTGACACTATTTTGGAGACTATAGCATATTTATTTGTTTTTAATTTATTGGGTTATTTGGTAAAATATAGTATTTTAATGTAGACCTTTCTAAGCAGAAGAAAATCGATATTTTAGTAAAGTTTTAAAATTGAAATTTTTCATCTACTAAGGATAAAAATAACAATACCGGGTAAAAGTGCACTTTAGCGAAGGTAGGTCAAAATGACGGAAAAAGTTCGAGAGGGGTATCAATCGACGCGTCTTAACGCCAATAATAACAATCCGAGACAGAAAATTAAGATTTTTAATTCATTGAAAAGTTATTTGCAAAAAACACTTGCACTTTCCGCACTATGTTTCGATGAATTTCACACAAATGAAAGGAAGAAATGAACTTAATTTAACACG